GACACGCGGCACACCCAGACTCTAGGCGCGGGCCCGCTGGTTGTCATGTGACCCGCTGCTGCAGCTTTCCCCTCCCCCTCTCCGGGCCGCGAGACTTTTGCAGCGCCGGGCCATATGGTGCTCTCGGCGCCCTCGCTGTCAGGTCGGGGCTGCAGGGTGGGCGCGGAAGATATTTAATGTGCCACTCACGGGGACAAGATTTGTCAGTTTCAGGGCTGTCTGCCTGCAGCCTTGTTAATGATTAGAGAAATAAATAAACCTGCACATACATAATCAGAGTAAAATTATAACAAAGTCTTTCACACTATAACCATATGGTGCTCTCGGCGCCCTCGCTGTCAGGTCGGGGCTGCAGGGTGGGCGCGGAAGATATTTAATGTGCCACTCACGGGGACAAGATTTGTCAGTTTCAGGGCTGTCTGCCTGCAGCCTTGTTAATGATTAGAGAAATAAATAAACCTGCACATACATAATCAGAGTAAAATTATAACAAAGTCTTTCACACTATAAAGCTATCATCACAAAAGGCAAATATCTGAGAAACTGCATGGAAATTACTCAAAGCAAAAAACAATTAGGAGTCCTGTAGCATCTTAAAGACTCGCACATTTATTTGGGCATAAGCTTTAGTGCATCTGATAAAGTGGGCTCTAACCCACGAAAGCTTATGCCCAAATACATTTGTGAATCTTTAAGGTGCTGCAAGACTCCTCTTGTTTTTGCTGAAAGAGCTTCCTCTCTGAAACTCCAAAAGAAGTATGCTTCCTAGCTACTGAATGAATCTTGGCAGATTTGCAGCCATAGTAGTCATGCTTGGAAGCTCTTGTAAGTCATTTGGTTAATTCTGAATAGCTGCTAAACTACATTCCTCTGCTCCCTCATTTATCAAGGCCTTGTATTCAATTCAGAAGGCAGCTACCTTCTTATGCTGGACAGTTTACAATCAAGGAGAAGAATAATTACAGTCTTTGTCCTAATTAGCAGTATTAAAAATCTGTTATGGTGAAACATGTAACTAAAACCTCATACTGTCTGCTAGCTCCCTAATGAGTGAAGCCTTCTAGCCATTCGTCAGAAATCATTTGTCAAGAGCTAGTCAGAAGATTATTTTGGGTATTTGTTCAGATACCATTTATAAATAGCACAGACTACTGCAGCTAAAGTGACCAACAAAAATCAGTTACACAGATGATTTATGTTCTCAGATTATTCCCAGTATAAAATGGAGAACACTGCACTGCAATCCAAATAGCTACAATAACTTTGCGAAACACAGACAAATCTAAGGTAGAAAGAAGCAAGAAACTAGTGTAGGAGTTTGAAGTAAGGATTTTGGCCAAGGACAACAGGACATTATGGAATGTGCTGTAGGATACATAAGGACAGCAGAAAGCATACAAAACTTGGATTTGTAATGTCTCATATAACCTCTACATAGTGAAAAGGCACTCCAGTGACCAAATAATTCACCAGTATGTTCCAGTTTTTACCCAATTCAGTGACAATTGTAAACTGAGTTTACGGCTGCTTAGGCCAGTGGGTCAACCTTTTGTATACTGTACTGTGGACCGGCCAACTCATTCAAAAACTTTTGGCAAACCAGCACTGAAACATTTGCATATTCATTGTGGTAATTAATTTATTTGCATAGTTGCATATTCATTATGGTAATTCCATTTAAACAGTCACATGTTGTTTTACATTGCATCTGTACACACATAGTACACGTCATAGTACACGCCTAACCTGTGTGCCTATTCCTATGCACTTAATAATGTAGTTTAATTTGAAGTAAGTAAATATTTATTTTTGTAGTACAGGCAGTCCCCGACTTACGCGGATCCGACTTATGTCGGATCCGCACTTACGAACGGAGCTTTCTCGCCCTGGAAGTCGGGGCGAGAAAGCCCCGTTCGTAAGCTGCTCCGGTGCCCCTGGTCTGCTGGAGACCGTCTCCAGCAGACCAGGGGCACCAGGCGGGTTCCCGCGCTTCTGAGGCTTTGCCAGAACAAAGCCTCAGAAGCGCAGGAAC